GGCAGGAAGAGAGGGAGGGGGGACCGGGGGAGGCGGTGGGAGGGGAACGGGGGGTGCGGGATGAAGTCGGGAGGGGGTACCGGGACTCACCGGGTGCCGGCCCTGGGGGTACATGGCCGGGCTGGGGCGCGGTCACTGGAAGCAGCCGCGCCGAGCCTCGCTACGGCGATCGCGACGTGCGGAGCTGCCGCTGCTGCCCGCCGGCCTCGGAGCGCTCCCGGAGAGGCCGAGAACTGAACAAAGGGACGAGAGGAAAGTCCGTGCGGGGGGCGGAGGGGGGGGGGGGGAGCGGGCCCGGCCGGTTCCCCCCCGCACATTCCCCCCCCCGGCCCCGCACCGCCGGGGAGGCGCCCGCGGAGCCGAGCCCAACCCCGCAGCGCCGGGGCCAGGTGCCGACCCCCCCGGCCGCCGCGCTCCGCGGGCCTCCGCTTCCTCACCCCCCCCTCCTTCCGGCACTCGCTGGCGGAAAAAAAAAATAAAAGAAAAATCACCCCCCCGAAAAAAAAAGGAAAAAAAAAATCAAAAAGCCACAGCGACAACAACAACAACGCGGCGGCGGGAGGAGGGTCCCGCGGTATTCCTGCGGCCGGGAGAAGGGGAAGCAAAGCCAGGAACTAACGCCGGAGCACGACGGCCATGGAGGAGAGGAGGAGGGGGAGGAAGGCCGTACACATCCGACTTCCCGGGCGCCGCGGACATGCGAGGTGCGAGCGGGTCCCCCGCCCGGGGGCGGCCGTTCAGCTGCGTCCAGCCGGGATCGCCGTAACTCCGGGAGCCATCGCGGAGCGGGCGCGGAGCGGGGCAGCGGCGCCCGAGCACGCGGTGCCGCCACAGCGCCCGGGCGGAGCGGGGCGGCGGGCGGGGGACAAAACCCGGGCGGCCTCGCCGCCTCCAGCCAATGGGGAAGCGCCGCGCCCACGTGGGGCCGCCAGCGACTCGCGCTGATTGGACGGCGCSGGCGAGACGTCACAATGGCAGCTTGTGTCTGACGGAGGGGTGTCCGCGGGCCACGCCCACCCAGGGCTCCGCCCCGCTCAGGCCCCGCCCTGCCCCGCGCCCCCCGGCCCGGCCGTGACTCGGGCCCGGCGCTGCCGTAACCTCGCTCCAGCGGCCCGGTTTGGGCTGTAAAACAAACGCRAGCGCTTTGTCACCGTAACGCCTCCGCTCCGCGTGCCGCCGTACCGGGAAAGCGCTCGGTGTGAGCCTCCCGCACCGGCGGGCGGCGCRAAGGCCGCCCTGCCTCCCCCGGCGGCCGCGCGGCCCCTTTGATGTATCGTGAGGGCCGCGCTGCTCCCCCTCCGCGCCTCCCCTCACGCCTGAGGGGGTTTAACGAGGAACACGGGTAATGGCGTTAACGTCAGGCCCTCCCGCCGCGCCCGGGGGATACCCGGCTGCGCCCCCGAGGGAGAGCCCCGCGGCCGCCGCACCGGAGCGGGAGCAGGCCCGGTCTCGGCGGGCCGCAGGGASCGGGTCCGGGGCAGCCGCGGCCCCACGGGCGGGCCAGGCCCGGCCCAGCGCACAAAATGGCCGCTCGCCCGCGCGTCAGACGGAGCCTCCGCCCCACGTGGGGCCGCGAGCCTCGCGCCGCCCTTTGGCCAATCACAGCGCGGAGCGGGTCGCAGCGCCAACGCTATTGGCGGGAGGGAGCGGCGCTGTCAATCAAAGCCACGCGGGGCCGCCGGCGCGCAGCCCCCGCCCGCCGCCCGCCCGCCATGGCGGCGTAATTAGCCCGGGCCGGCGCTTCCTCCAGCTCAAACAATCTGTCACCGCCGAGCCGGGCGGGCCGCGGCACCGCCGCGATCTCTGCGGCAACGCCGCGGCTCGGGGCTTTCTCGACAAGAATGAAGCGCCGCCGCTTAAATAATACATAGAGGGCAAAACGCCCCGAAATCCCTCCCCGTCCTCGTTCCCGGTGTGGGGGGTGCGAGCGCCCCGTTGACCCCCGGGGTGCGGGATGGGGGTGCCCCGGCCCCCCCGCCCGCCGCTAATTGGGCGCGTTCCGGTTGGTGACGTGCCGGGTGCTGTCAGCGCCTGACGCTGCCCATTGGCTGCTGCCGCCTGGCCCCGCCCCCGCCCCACGTGGGGCCCGCCGTGTTCGGCCGGAGTGCCGCAAAGCCCGGCGCGGATCCATCGCGGAGCGGAATCACMGCGGGGTCGCTCCCCCAGCGCCCTTCCTGCCTCCTCCGCCTTTCCCAGTTCTTCCTGATTCCCGAATTTTGCCTCCATTCGGCTTTCATTTTTGGCTTTTTGTCTGTTGAGGCAGCAGCTCTTTGCAAAGCTTTTCCACTGCACAGGGTCGGGGTGAATTTCAGCAATCCACYGGGGTATCCTTTGGAGCACCCAGCGTGATGCCCATTGGGGCATCCATCCCTTGGGGTATCCTATCCATTGGAGCACCCATTGGGATGTTCAYTGGGTGCCTGTTTAGTCACCCATGGGAGCGGGTATCCGTTGGGTGCCCATCGGGATGTCCATTGGGGCATCCATCAGGATGTCCACTGGAGTTCCCCTGGGGTGTCCATGGAATCACCCATCGGGACCCCCATTGTGGTGCCCTTCGGGGAGCAAAGCCCCTCTGGAAGGCAGATCCTGGGAAAGTCTATGGGATAACATGGGAGGACAGTTCTCTGAAGCACACGGAGCCGGAGCAGCTCCTGGAATCGCCAATGCCAGAAAAACAGCAAAAAATAATGGCAGGGAGCAACCCTGGAAATATTCGTGGTGAAACACGTTCTTATTTCTCCTCCAAGTGCTCTCTCTGGCAGCTCCTGCTGCCAAGGGCTTCCAGGGAGACGGATATTTAGTGGAAGAACGTGACTGGTGCTCCTGGTGTCACAGAGCCCCTTCGCTCCCAGGAGATCCCAAATTAGAGGRAACAGCACCTGGGAATTCTCCCCCTGGGAGAGACTCAGGAACAGAACACTCTGCCCTTCCTCAGCATTCTGCCCTTCTTCCCACCTCATCCTGGGCTCATTCCTGGCATGAAAAAGGGGAGACTGCAGAAACCCTTCCAGGGCATGAAGGGGGCTCCAAGAGAGCTGGAGAGAGACTGGAGACATGGGATGGAGGGACAGGACACAGGGAATGGCTTCATGGTGGAAAAGCAGAGATTTAGATGGGATATTGGGAAGGAATTCCTGGCTGTGAGGATGGGGAGGCCCTGGCACAGGGTGCCCAGAGAAGCTGTGKCTGCCCCTGGATCCCTGGCAGTGTCCAAGRCTGAGTTGGAATGTAGGATAGTCRAAGGTGTTCCAGCCCATGGCCGGGGGTGGCACTGGGTGAGCTTTAAYGTCCTTTCTAAACAATTCCAGGACTCKATGATTCTGTGCAATCCTCACTCTGTGCTAACTGAACTGGAAAAGAGGGACAAAGGGGTGATTCCCGTGGTGGGGCCAAGCCAGACCCTCTGTCCCAGGGACTTTCCAGGAGCAGACTCCAGGGACATGAGGCCACAGGGAGAGGAACAGAAAGCAGCGATTTTGCACTGAAAATTCCCTTTATTGCTCAAAATAGAACCCATTAGCTGGGCTGTGCCCCTCCCCCTGTGGTACTTATGGACAAATTCTGATTTTTACTTAATGGTTTCCCTGAGAAGGTTGTAATTTTCTTCCCATTCCCATCGAGCCGCAGCTCCAGCGCTGTTGTGGTGAACTCCAGCGGCCAAGGATGGCTCTCGTTAATTGATATTCCTCATGCTGGGACTGCACAGAAAGAGGAGATGTTTTATTTTAGCTTATTGAAACTCACCTGCTTCGGGGGAAAAAAAAAAAAAGAATCTAAAGAATGATTAGGGGTGAAAGGAAACGTTCTGGTTCATATTGATTTAAGATCTGCTTAAATTGATATTTGCACATCCCAATTAGAAACCTGTGATCTTTTCCCGGAACRTATTTTTCTTTTTCTGAGGGTTTTCTCTTTCTGAAGGATCTCAGGAAAAGCCTCAGTGGGAGAAGCTGCTGTCACCTCTCTCAGCTGGCCACGAGGTGCCTTTGTCACCATGAGTGGGACACCACACAGTGTCACTATGGATGGAAACAATACAAGATGAGGTTGAGTTGAGGATGAGGATGAGGATGAAACCAAGCGCTCTGGGGACACTCAATGACACCCAGTGTCACCATTAAAGAGCAGCTCCCCAGAGGATCATGTCAATGTGGAGAGCAGGAGGCACTGGGGCTTTTCGGGTGATCTCTCGCTTGGGATGTGACAATTCCAAGGGTGGTTTTGCCCTGATGTGCCCCGTTCCCGGTGCCCTCTGAGGTGGCACAACCGGGAAAGGAAGCAGGAGATGTTCCTCCCCCTCCCCGTGTCCAGGGGGAAACCTCTCCCTCAGCTTCTGGGCACAGGGGGTTGTGACACGCTGTGACACTGTTCTGTCCCCAGCAGCCTTTCGGGGAAACCGTCGGAGCTGCTCTTCCCCTTCCCCTTCCCTTCCCACAGCTGCTCTGCGGGGAACAGAAGCTGTCCCCATCCTCCCACGGACACTCCCTGGCACTGCCACCCCTCCGGCCCCGCTGACCCCTCGGGGGTGTCCACAGCTCCCCCAAACCCCAATGACGCAGCTGTGGGACCAACGGGAGGAAGAATCCCGCAGGAGGAGGGCGGGGACAGCTGGAAGGGTCTGAACATCTGCACAGACACAGCTCAGCCTCCCCACCCCTCTCTGGGGAAAACAGGTCCCAAACAGCCCAGACAGGACCCCCATCTTTCCCCAAAATCTCCATCCACCCTTCCCAGCCGCGTTCAGGTGACGCTGGGAAGGGGCTGCAGCCTCCTCGGACAAGGCGGATTTGCAGGAGAAGGCGGCGGGGGCAGAGGTGACTCCCGGCCGCACACACGTGTGCACACAGATGCCACACACACCCGCACCCACGTGTGTCCCTTGCGTCCCCTCCTCCCTGCGCGGCGCAGCCSAGCTCGCCCGGCGTGACGGGAGCCGCCCCAGAGGTGACTTTATCGCTGACAAGCCGGTCCCAGCCCGGTCAATGGTGTGTGTTTACATTGCAGGTGACATTATCTGCCCTCCGCGCAGGGCAGGACCCTGCCTGCCAAATTCCCTTCAGCTTTCAAGTTTATCTAAACAAGGATTTCAGAGTGGGAAGGCAGCGAAACGCTCGGGAGCGAGCAGCCCCATCGAGCCCGGATATTTGGTTTTGTGGGAAGCTGGGCTTTATCTGCTCATGGCAGCGAGGTTTTCCAGCCCCTCTGGCAAGAGAGGGTTCGATCCTGAACCTCCGTGGCACCGGGGGCTTTGTGGTGGCGGCCGCAAGGATCCCCAGCTGGCAGCACCGGGAAGCACCGGGAAGCACCGGGAAGCACCGGGATGGGGCCGGAACCGCGCGGGCTGGGGGGAGCTGTCCCTGCTGGCGGCAGGGGCTGGATGAGACCTTTGGGGTCCCTTCCCCCATCCCTCCCACACGGCCGTGCCGTCTCCAGGCGGTCCGGGAGGAGCGGCAGTTGCCGGTAGTGCCGGTGTTGCCACAGCCGGCCCCAGCGGCCTTTCACAAGCGCGGCTCCCGGGACCGGACCTCGCCCTCCGCCGCGGCTTCGCTTGAGCAACCCCAGGGCCCGGCCGGGCCCAGCGCCCCCGGCTCTGCTGCACGGTCGGGGGAAGCCGGGTGGCTGAACCCCGGCTTGGGACACCCCAGAACCCCGTCGAGCCCCCGGGAGGCTCCCAGCATCAAAACCAAGATTTTCCTCCCGTGTCCCTGAATTTGGGACGGGTGGGTGAGAAGCACCCATGGGTGCTSCGGGTGCTGGGGGGAGGGAGAGCACCGGGATCCCCCTGGCAGCTCCACAGAGCTGGACTTACAAAGTTTTGGACAGGAATTTGGGACAGCAGGAGAAGGGAATGTG